TTATTTGAAATTATAAGTGAGTTAAAATATCTTGATTACGGTTTCACTGTCTTCCATAGTCCGAGATTACTCTGACGTCCAACGGCTGTTTTGCCAGACACGGCCCAAGCTTGCGGAGGAGCAAGATGATGACGAAGCCACAAATATTAAGCATAATAACGAACTTACTGAATTACAAAAAATGCAAAATGAAGACAATAATCAGACACAAAATGAAGGTCAGACTCAAAGTTCAGTTCAAAATGATACAAGTATTCCTGACAAACATAATTCGCAGTTCAAAAGATCACAAAAATCAGACCAAGGGACATTACAAAATCAAACCAGATTACAAAACTCTCAGAATATCCCATTTCAGTCCAACGAAATTAAAAACCTTGTTGAGTATAGTCTTTATCAGGGTAAACCTATATACAAAGTCAAATTCACTGGTAAGCCAGGAACTAGTTGGCAAGATGCTTCACGTATTTCAGAAAATTTAAAACAGGATTACCACAGACAGTGCAATGCAAAAGGACGAAAACAAAAACGTTCAGGAAAACACAAGTTTTTTAATCAACTAAAAGTCATTCGGTTCAAGTCATACAATCTCATAAGGCATTTACAAAAACAAAACCAAATTCATTACAAAACATAAGAAATTTTCAACAATTCAGTCAAGTACCAAATCAAAAAATTGTAAAGTTTAGATTAGACAAAGATCAAAAAGAGTCCAGATATTTAGTGGAGTATCCAAATGGTAATGTCTGTCAAGGCCCAAGAAGTACTCTATTTATGAGTGATGACTTAAGACCTGATGTGTTCAGGCAGTTCTTAAAAGTTCTCAAACAAGAGGAAAAGATGTGTTCAAACTCTAAAAATCCATTACAACCAAATGATTTTGTTCCAGTATCACAGTTTGATATTCAAACAATGTAGTCTATGCATTACTTTACACCTACAACACGAAGAGCAATACCCACTCAATATTCATCTTGTCATGGCATTAACAGGTTCAGATTAAAACTAATTGAACATTATGCAAGGGCTAACGGCAATGATGCAAGCCTGTACTAGTCCCTTGCCAAAACTGGGTAGGTTATAGGTTCTGCTTTGATCGAGCTTTTGTTCTGGGAAAGACATGCTCGTTGAAGTTTTTAAGGATCTATTAACTTATCTCAGCATTGTTTATGCTCTTCTCCTAGACAGAGACCATGACATTATTTTTTTTTCAACAGTATTGTATTTTTGTTGTTGTTATCATTCAACACTAAAATAAAGTAATAAGAAATAAATAAGAAATAACAATGATTGTTTAATGTGATGACAAATATTTAGGAACATTTATATACTGTATAGAGTAAGGGTTGGTCTCGTCAACCAAACCTTACTTCTTACAGGCAGTTCAGTATGGAAGTGACGACTCCATGCTGAATTAATATCAAATTCAGAAAATTAATTTTTAATTTGAATCTTTAAAATTGTGATATATCATTGTTATTTTGGTTTTGGATTATTAGTATAATTATCTAATCAGTCAGTTTTCAAAGTCGAAAATTATTTTACTCTCTATTACACTAAGTAAAGTGTTTGTTACCCTTAAAGGTTGTACTTTGTAGTGTTCAATTAATTCAAGTCTCAACTCAAGAATAATATTTATGCTATGTACATGTAGATACTAAACGTTACTCCTCATAGCTTTTCAAAGGGCTAAGAATATAAATAGCTTTTCAAGTTAGGATATCAATATTTTAAGTATTAAGGCCAAAATATAATATTGTCACAGGGTGATTTAAGTAAGCTGTGTCTCATAAAACTCAGTAGTAGGGAAGAAGATTCAATAACTTTTGTGAAATAATACAGTTTAGACCATTTCAGCGGATGCCAGTACAGAAAAGAACCAGAATACCAAAAATTTTCAAAGTTAATTGCAGTTTACCAATAAAATTTCCCTGCTTTGCTTATAAGTTACCATATGGCTTGGTTGTGGGAAAAAGAGAGATTATACTGATCCTCATTGTAGCATCGGTTAAATATGCTAATCAAACCATTACGAAAAATCCATGAGGTTATGGATTTCATGTTACATTTCAATATATGCAAGCAATCTTTGTGTGTCTTTTTGAAACTTCCATGTGGATATGGAGTTCAAAGTTTTACATTCCTTGATGTAAACCATCAGTGGGTCACAGTGAATCTCCATGTGGATATGGAATTCACAGTTTACATCCGACATATGTAAACTTCATCAGTTTCATGCGGATTGAAACTTCAAACCAGGCGACTAGTTGGTCAGGAAAAACATTGATCAGGTATGAATCGCCATGCAAATATGGGATTCACAATTTACATCCAGCATATGTAAATTCAGAAGTTTCATGAAGATTGAAACTCCAAACCAGGCGACTTGCTGGTTAGGAAATCTTCTCTGGGTTTGAATCACCATGCTAATATGGGATTCACAAATTACATCAAATTTACATCAAATAATTTATGCTTTAACTTTACAATGCAATTGATAAAAAGGTATCTAAGGGACCATATGTTCAATAGTAAGAATTAAAATAATTACCCTCCCCTTTTTGGGAGTTGTGTATTTTGATTGGTCAAGTAACTATGATATACAAGAAATGATTGTTCAGATTTGCAGAGAATCAGTTTAGAAAAGGACTGGCGATATATTAACTTAGTGTAAATTTGTTCACATCATGGTGACAAAGTGCAAATTCGTATATGACTTGTGTTGTAAATATCATCGGAAGGCTATATCTATTTGTGAATAATTAATATACAATCATCAAACTTAGTGTTTTTATTGACTTCTTGTGCTGTATTCTAAAGGAAACCAGACAATGCGTTACTTATGCTCTACCATGCATCACAATTCAGAGTTAGTTCCCCTACAAAATAATATGATCAGAACTGGACCGCAGAATGTCAGCTAGTACCCCCAAATATTCACATGCGATCCAGCTCGGTCATACTGATGTAAAATGAAATATAAAATAATGGTGTTTATTTCTTATGAACCAAGAATCTTGCAATCTGAATGGTTAATTACCCGGGTGTAAATAACACCCCACCCGATTTCACCCAGGGATAAAATTTCCAAATTTTCAATAAAAAAAAAAAATATTCAAAATTCCCTGAAAATTCTAATTTTTGCAAAATTCTCCAAGAAAAAAAAAATGCACACCAAAATTGGTCATATTGGTGTTGAAAAAATGTGTATATAGTGGGAGTTCCTCGTTAGAATTTTTCAATTTTACACCCCAGTAAAAAAATTGTAAATGAACGCTTCATAAGAAATAAATTCGTTATCTTCGTATAATCAGGGGTGTACGGAATTTTACGCAGTCCGCCTCGGGGTGTATGAATTTTCAACACCGGTGTAAAATTCTGTACACCCCTGATTACACCAAGATAACTAATAATATACATGTGTAATGGTGGTCGCTTTCGCTAGGTGCCTTCCTTATATACTACTATCATATGTATATTTATTAATCTTTATTGTATTTGTATAATTTCCTATGGGCGCAGCCATTTTTATTAGGGATTCGCCGGTCCACTTCCTGTGGCCCGGCCGGGACATTTTAGGGTTTAATATAAGTACTCCGATCCCAGTGACCGGCAGTTCCAAAACCGGTAGCAGACGATACAACCAGGAAAAACCATTAGAGAAACCATAATATAAACATTTAGTTTATAAGGTAACTAAGCATATTTAAGACACCACCATGCATATGTACTCCCGTAAACTCGTTACGCTTTTAATTAATGTATTACAAATGTTCCAATTGTGTAATATACGTCAAATAAACCATTATTGAAACTTTAAAGGTTTGATTCATTCTTTAAAATCAGAGAATTCGGGAATAGTCATTCCCATGACACATGTATAGTAAACCAAATATAAAGACAATCTATGCAAAGCATTATGCAGTAGTGCATTATCAAACCAGTCCTGCAGATTTGAAAAAAATGGTATATGAATGTTGCAGTCCTGGCCATATAGCGAAATGCAAATCAAAATCTGCTGAACACGATTGTTAAGGTTCATCATAACAAACGGACAAATATGGCTGTATTTACACGTCAAAAAATACTCTGAGTACAGACTTACCTGTCCAGTTGGAAAAGTTTTAAGGCATGGCATCCACTAGATATATAAAAGTTAAATGCATTTTGTGTTTCAGAAAGATATAATCTTTTTTGGTTTTTGATGGGCATTTTTTTTCCTTTCTGCAGAAGGTGTAAAAATAAACAAACACCTGAATTACTTTGATACTGTCCACTCTGTTAAACTGACCCTTTAACTCACCCATAGTTGTGTAAATACCTGTTGTCCATGTCAATCAAGGACAATCAATACAATACAATATAGTTTTTACCTGAGAGGGAGCATCTCAAAGTTGTATCACAACTTAGTTAATTTTTACACCTTCTGCATGAAGGAAAAAAATGCCCATCAAAATCCAGAAGAGATTTTATCCTTTCTGAAACACAAAATGCATTTAACTTTTACATATCTAGTGGATGCCAGGCATTAAACCTTTCCAACTGGACAGGTAAGTCTGTACTAAGTGTAGTTTTTGGCGTGTAAATACAGCCATATTTGTCCGTTTGTTATGATGAACCTTAAATACATTACAGTGGCTGATCCAGAAGGAAGGAGGGTGGGGGGTTGTTCCAGGGGTTGGAACCCCTCTTTTCTTTTTGACGATCAATGCTTTTGAATGGGGATATATGGTTGGAACACTCAATACCTAACACACCCTCCCTTTTATCCTGGGTTGGAACCCCCCCACCCCCCCCCCCCCCCTTTTGAAAATGGCTGGATCCGCCCCTGCAATATATGCATTATATTGCAATGGCAATTAGAAACGAAGACAAAAGTCTCACGTGAAAAATCTACAGTACATGATAGCAAAAACAATTGTTTTAGTAAAAGGTGTATGAACTTGTTCATGTTGTTCCAATGCCATAATTATAAAAGTAGATTTTTACATGATACTTACAAACACATAGTCATGAAGAATAATAAGATCGTGACAAGCCATCCTGGAATTATTGCGATCCCAAAGAAATCCATGTTTAACTGTTTCTGACGTTAACCGATAAACATGATAATAATATAATAAATATTCAAACAGTTAAGCTTCAATTTTCTATAAATAGAAATGATCCAAATGTGTATGGAAGGCAACATGGAACAAAAATTACCTACTTAAGGACTGAATTATTTTACTCTTCATAGCTCTCTTTGACATATACAGTAATATTTTAGCTACATTAAAATTTCATAGAATGTGTTTAAAAAAATTACGTGTTTTTGTGTATATGCAATATAATTTCAATACTATAAAAACTCTGATTTAAAAAGATCTCTGTATGTATTGATCCAAGTGATATATCTATAAGAATACGAATAAATACAAAAATCTTTGACCAATCTTATCTAAAACAACAAAATGCTATATCAAAACCCTACATTAGAAGTTAATTACGTGAGAGAAAAAAAAATTGAAAGGAAACTGCTTATTAATATCACTACCTGATTTACCCTACTTTAGAAGTTAATTAATTACGTGAGAAAAAAAATAAATTTGACAGAAAACTACTTATTAATATCACTACCTGATTTTCGGCAGTAGGTATATGTAAGAAATAACTTTTAACGTGATGGAAACTGAGACACTTTATTTTGGTGCATCCGAAACGCATTTCTGAACCAGAAACGCTTAAACCAAAGTATAGGATCCCGTCGATGTATAAATACTTAAGGAGCTTTATGATCGAGAGGAACATAATACAATTACACTAGATGTGTAGAATTTTGCGCATCAATATTAGATATATAAAGCGATTAGCTTGTCCTTCACTATTCGGAATTTGAATCTATGCTTCTGGGTCCAGCGCGCCAGACCAGTAAGCCAACTAGGCGATATAGCTTTCGCTAGTAGAGTTTACTTTCCCTAGGCTCCATCTAGAGCTGTAACACAGAACATGATATATATTGGCATGTAGCTTGAACATCTTGCAGATAATTTTTTTTTGTCTGTCATAAAGAAAGAATGTTTAGTTTACATGTTTTGATATGTGACAACTCTTTGACTGACATTCATAGAAATACCTAGGGTTTTAAAAGGTTGAAACCACAAATTTAGCCTATATTTCATCTGAAAAGAGTAGGCCGGGCCAAATAACTCTGAATTTATTTCACACCGGTACAATTTAAACCAGTCTTTCAATTTTGCTCAAAATTCCTATTGTAACTGACATCCCAGTCTATGTACTTTTAACAATATTACAACTTATTTCTAAATAGGCCTTCAAATTATAAACGCTGAGGATATCCCAAAATGGATATTTCGAGAGATTTATGCAAATTTTGAGTATTCATCCCAAAAATGTATAAGAAGGACATCGTTAACCAAAACCAAAATTATGTTGGAAGTAAGGCTATGTGTTGTCTTTTGGCTACGCATCTATTCAATTTGGATGGTGATGTCTTTTGATGCAAAATTTGCAAACGCATTTAAAACTTGCAATTTTTATAAAATGCCTTCAACAGCAATACACAGCGCTGAATAAATTTTGATTTTATGTAAATATGATAAATTGTGAATCAATATTTTAAGCATATGCCATATAGACTCTTCAATAATCAATTTTCAGCACATTTTGACCCTGTGAGTGAAACACATGCAGGGAAAAATGTCCATACACCTTTAGCCAAACAATCTGCATATAAATATAAAGAGGAAAAAAATAAAGTTGAAAATGCACTAAATATTTATATTCAATATGAACAAGCATTCTGTGAGTATTGCCTGGCAATACATAGTCCACTACCGGTTAAAAATTCATTGTACTGGAACAAAATGCTAACTTAATCTATAACTTTTCATGGTGTAAACTATATAACAAATATCAAATTAATATCATCAAGCATGACAAAAACAAATGTGGAAAATTGATTATTTGAGTGAATTTTCTAAGTCCAAGGACCACAACTCTGCACAAAATCATCAGACCGGATCTAAATTCCAACTTGATCTGTAACTTGTCATGATAAAACTATATACCAATCAAATCAATATCTTCAAGCATGACAAAAAAAAAGGTGCGGAAAACTGATTATTTGGGTGAATTTTCTTAGTTCAAGGACCATAACTCTGCATAAAATCGTCAGACCGGAAGAAATTCAAACTTGATCTGTAACTTGTCATGATAAAACAATTATACACCAAATATCAAATCAATATCATCAGGCATGACGAAAAAATGTGTGGAAAACTGATTTGCCGGACTGACGGACAGACAGACAGACAGGCAGAGTGTAAACCTAAAGTCCCCTTCCACTTCGTCGGTAGGGGACTAATAATCACATTTTGTCGATTAAGACATCAAATTGTTCTATAATGTTCTCCATAATTTCCTACCGGTAGAGTTAAATCCCACTGGATTAAGAATTAAATCCCGCTGAATTAAGGCCTTAGCAATTGCTACCTAAATTTGACAATGTACATTATATAATAATATAAATAAGTCTAAATTGAAAACAACGTTCAAACCTATGATTCCTATAAAAGTAGAAACACAAATAAAAATCTATTATAGCCTATAGATAGAAACACATAATATACAAATATATATATTTTTTTTAATCCCGTCTCTCATAATTCTTTTTAGAATGGCATTAATATTTTATATTGTTTTATGTATACGTGTATTATGTTATGTATTGTAATATTAATGGTGAGACGTAAATAAACTATTTGTATTGTATTGTATATTGTACAAATCTATTTGAGTGTGGATTAATTAGTACAAAGATTAATTAATACAATAACACAAATGAAATTATAAATTGCCTAACAATGTAATTTTAACATACTATTTGATTTGTAACTATTAAAATGTTAAAAAGTTTTACAATGCGATAAAAAAAAAAATACTCAATATTTCGCTAGACCTGGATAGATGCACGCTCGATGAAGCTAGTTTGTTTAGCGAAATATTGCGTTTATTTTTTTTATCGCATTGTAAATATTTTTAACATTTTAATATCTACATACTAAATAGTATATATATATACTTCATCTCAAATTTAGCCCAAATTGAAAACAACGTTCAAACCTATGATTGCGTTGGATAAAAACCGCAATTTTTATACGTGTGCATGCAAAACAAATTTCTTGGTAGAGTGGTCTAAATACAGCACAAACAACATTTTCCAAAAGACCAAAAAAAGTGAAAAAGTATATTTTAACAAAACGCATTTGACTAGCAGGTCGAACAACGGATGTTCTTAAACCCTGCTGACTGCCATGACGATTGCCAAATAAACGGATCACCAGATGTAAAAATGGATCTTATTAATTTAATACCAAACAGAAAACAATAAACTTGCGGAAAAGATGGTATACCGCAAACATGAGGTGCAAAAATTTGTACACCATATCCGGATTTCGACAATTAATGTCTCTTCAGTGATGTTAGGAATCGAAACGGTATTTGGAAGGCCATATAATTTACCTCAATTTGGGATTGACTCTTGAATTTTGAAGAGAAAATAGGATGAACGGATCATATAAACCCGAAGGCAAATATAATACAAGCCCAAACGAAAACATATAAACAAGTCTAAATTGAAAACAACGTTCAAACCTATGATTGCGTTGGATAAAAACCGCAATTTTTATACGTGTGCATGTAAAACAAATTTCTTGTCCGAGACAACATTCGTGCGGTTTTGGTATTGATGGTGACGGACGTCTTTTTATATTGTGCTCCAATTTGAAGAATTACTTGTGGTGTTGGCGTTTATTTGTTACAGGAACATATCAATAACATTGCATAATAACACTGGCGTGATCAATTTTACCTTTTAAAAAACGTATTTCTCCGATTTTTAGAAAGATTAACTTTTTACATGTGACCCGCCAAAAAAAAAAGTGAGAAAACATGGCGGCCCTTGGCTGAGAAAGAAGTTTTTGCAGTCCACACACTACTCTAAGATTTTACTTAATAATTTATCTTAATGTAAATATAATACTTGACATTTTAATAGTAAAGTCTTAAATCCAGAAACTTTTACTGCGAAGATATCCAAAAGCTTCGAAGCTGTGATCCTGTATCAGTGTGAGGCCCTAGCTACATTAGAACTTTTAGCATATAGATAGTTCTTAGATATTTCCGTCTAGAAACATTTTATTACTTGCATATAGCCGTAATTTAATTTTATCGACACCAAATATACTTTTATCTGTGTGTGTTTGTGCTTACGCTTGACTTTACCTTAAACCTAACTCGCTATCTGCACCTCAGCTTTCCATATATACTCTTATACCTGTGTAACTAATTACTAATGACGGATAAAAAGCTTCTTAAATATTTGAGAAAAAGTTTTGAGCCACCAAACGGAGTACAAATACTCACTCCAGTAGTTCTCACAGATAGTAAGGGGAAATATTTACAAGCACAGTGTAGCTTACCTGTCGAAACCAGTATCAGATGGTGGGACAAATCTGGCCGTAACTCAAAACAAGGTCTGAAGTGGTTACGTGATAACTTAGAAACAGAAATAGCACTAATAGGCAACATTTCACTCTACATATGGGTTGGCACATGCGATCTCACTGAATACAACCATCCCTATATTAAACTGAGACAAGATCCCGAAGAAATTGTTCAATCTGTGACAAATAATTTCCATAAAATTGCTGAAATTCTTAAGAACCACCCAGCTTGTAAATTAACTTTTTTTGCAATACCACCCTACTCAATATATGATTGGAACTCTTGTCACTCACATCCCGACGTTAAACAGTTTATTGATCAGGACATCACTCTTGTCAAACATATTCTTCAGATTAATGATCATATCAGATATATAAATAACACCTTAGAAACAAGAACCCCAGGATTTTCAATTGATTTATTACACCCTGTAAATACTTCAAAAAAAGACTCAAGCCGGAAAGCAGGTGACCAGTATAATTTCAGTCTATATAGAGACGGGATCCACCCAGATATCAATCTAGCCCGAGTTTGGCTAAGAAAAATTGCGCATAAAGCCAAGACCGACTGTTGGTAGGCTGTTGGCTAGCAGTCAGGGTGGGACCTTCCACAGGTACCGTTGACACAGTATAGCTAGGCTAGGGTGGGAC